TGGATCCCAAGAACAGCTGCTAATAGCTGGTGTAGCCTGTGGTTAGAGAAAGGGATACAGGAGGTCTGGGGAGGGGTGTGGAGAGAGGGGTTCACACCTGAGACAGTCCCGGCAAAGGTGAGCCCACAGGTACCTGGCTAAGACTGCCGGAGCTGGTCCTCAGAGACACTGCCAGCCAGGGCAGCAGAGACAGGCACACCTCCTGCTTCCTCCTCCCTCTCCCACCTCCTTAGCCCCACTGCAAACACCTCGGGGACTAGGGCTTAGGGGACATGCAATGTGACCTTCTAAGAAAGTTCTACTGTGCCCAAGCTCGAGCCATGGCACATGGAAGGTGGGATTTTTTTGGATTCTGTTTTGTGGTTTGAATACATAAAGTAGCATTTTCCATTTAAAATAAAGCCCCTAAGCATATTTTTAATAGCAATGGAAAGGTCTTCCAAAGAGACATACATCGGAGCTTGGAAGCAATCTGGCAGGCAGGAAGCAGTCTGTCCTTCCCTTTCCTGCTAAAACATGAACCGAGGTTTCTAAGAACCAAAGCAAAGATTGCTCCAGGCCCTGACACAACCACATCAAGGTGAGCAACACGATCCTGAAAGGTTAGCCCATCTCTGTTCTACGCTCCTCGAAACCCCCCATACCCGGCCCGTGTCATCCTAATCTCCACCCCAGAAACAATTTGTCAGTCATCTCTCCAAATATCACAGGCATCTGGGAATGTCTCCTGGCCCACTCACTTCCCTGCTGGGTTCACCCTTCCAAACAGAGAGGGGCTGAGCGCACCCAACGTGCTAAATATTTCCCTGCTGCAGAATCTATTTTGCTGCTGCGGCTGCTGCTTGGCAGCAAAGAGACAGGAAGCTATTTAGATATATTATCTTCCTTTTCAGGAAGTTGAGAGGAACTTTTCTATTGGAGTTCACACAAACATTCCGTCTAATGGTCATTTAGTCATGCCGGCTCATTAGGTCACCAGTGAGGAATGCCCAGGCTGATTAAACATCATTCCAGCTTCTCCACTCGCTGCCCCCCAGGTCCCGGGGAGAAAACAGAGCTTCCCTGGCCTGGTGGTGACCAAGACAAGGAGCCCATCCTGAAAGCCACAGGGGCTCACTGCCAACCTCACAGCCCCTCCCCAGCTCCTATGCAGAGTACTTCTTACTTCTAAGGGAGGCTGATGGCTTTATAAAGAAATGTGTATGGCACTGAGTAGGAATTATCTACCTCTGGTCAGATAATGCTGTCCTTTAAGGGAGATCAAAGAGGGCCCTCCGCAGAAGGCACTGAGAATGCTGTTCCCCAAAACTGCAGACAAACCCATGATGAGGTCACACAGATGAACTGACAGAACACAGGCTTGCTGCAGAATGTAATAGCTAACTACGAATGAATGGTGGTGGTTATGTACTAGACATATCCCAATGTTTTATGTGTATTCACTCATTTAAGGCTCGAACAACTCAAGGAGGTAGGAATAATGAGGAAATTGGCCCAGAAAGTCAAATACCGTATTTCTGCTTAAGGCTGCACACATAGTGGACCTAGCCTGTGCTGTCTATGAGGACTTTCTGCAGTGATAGACATGTCTTATGTCTGTGCTTTCCAGTGGGGTCACCACTGGCCACGTGTGGCTATTAAGTCCTTGAAAAGTCACTAATGTGACTAAGGAAGTGAATTTTGCATTTTATTTAACTATAATGCATTTAAATTTACTTGGTGCATGTGGCTAGTGGTTGCCATATTAGACTCCCCTGGCTCTAGAACCTACATCCTTAAACCTTAGACTATTGTGCCTTTCAAATCAATTAAGAGAATATGGAACTACTTACTGGGAGAATAATTAAACTCTGAAGGTGGAGCTTAGGTAGAGCTTCATTGGTATCTTAAAGGACAAGAACATGTGAGAAATCAGACTAAATAGGAAGTGGAAAAGTTAGCTTAAATGAAACAGTAGGCATTCAGGTCAGGTGTTTGAGGACTACACCTATAAAAGAAAGAAGGTAAAATACCAACATGGCTTGTCAAGAGAAGTGCCTTCCTTTTTTCTAACCAGTAAATTATATTGAGCTCCGACTATGTGACCTTACTAAGTCTTGCTCTCTAGAGTCATGTGGTCCAGGTGGGAAGCCAGGTCTGATCCCCCAAACAATGCCAGGATGTGTGGGTCAGGGTGGATGGCAGTACTAAAGTCTGTTTATTCTATTTCCCTCCAAAACCTTCCTAATGAGCTGTGTCTGGGAGGGAGTGATATTTTCCACAATATCTTAGCCACTCCTTGGTTGTTTTTTTTTTTTTTTTTTTTGAATCTTCACTTTTCCATGCCATAAACACCGTATGCCATGACGCTATTCTAGTTAGATGTTCATCCATAAAGATAGGAGTGGTCAAGGAAGTCTTCAGGGAGGAGAAGGCATTTAAGCTGGAAGTTAAAGGAAATGCCTTGAATTAGAAAAGTGGGACAGTGGAAAGGCTGAGTACAATGACACACTTGGAAAAAAACTTGAACTGTTCTTGATGACTCTTGGAGACTGACAAACAGAGATTAATCAAAAACGACTTCACATGTTTTAGCTTGGATAAAAATAGTGGTTCTTGGGGTAAACACAGGAACTTTAGGGGATGGTAGGAGACAGTTTCAGAAATGATGACTTTGCTTTTGGGCATGTGGATTCTGAGGTGACAGACTGTGGAAATCCTGGATTGAGATCCACTTTTCAGTTTACATGGGAGGAGGACGGATTAGAAAGCTGCCTGAGATCACCTCCATTTCTAGCACTCAGAGAAGCTGCTTTTCCTCTTCATTAGCCAAGGCAGAATGAAGAGGAGCCACAGGACTCTAGAGAGGTTCACGTCACCACCCCACAGGGGACAAACGCACACCTTGTTTTCTGAGTTGACAGACATCCGGTTACTTCATCTTGGAAGTTACATTCATCTGCCCTTTGGAACGTCCTGCCCAATGACCGAATTTTAAAAATAGCTTCTTTTCCCTGATTATATTTGTAATACCTACTCACTGCAAAACATTTGAGAAAGCTCAAAAACAGAAATAAGGAAATGCAGTCACATAGATACACATACAGAGACCCACACACAGACATTTATGTATATATAGAGAGAACACATGTACACACATACCCACACATGTACATGTATGTATGTCTGTGTATGGGGTATATAGTTTTCATCCATTTTAGCTGGTATTTAAAAATGCACTTTTAGCTGTCAAAATCTGTAAGAATAAACAAGAAGATAAAAATCGCCAACTTTTATTGAGTTGCTAGTATGTTGTAGACATAGGGAAAAAATATACTCCGATCTCTGCACACACATTTTAAAACAATCTGTTCCTAAAATGAATCTATCGACTCTCCCCTTATTACCCAACATTCTTCAACACTCAGGTAGGTGTTGGTACCTGTTTAATATCCCTCTTTGTCATGGGCTTATTTTTTTCCTTCTAACTAGAGAGCTATAGTTTCCGAATCGCCTGTAACAACAACTGCAGAGGCGGCCTAGGAGAGGCCAAGAAGAGACAGGGTTGGGGGCTGACACATCGTTAGGGATCCAAAAAAGCAGAATTCCTGCCAGGATGCCCCACCAATATTCTAAACTTCAAACCTTGAATTCCTGAATCTAAAGACCACCACCGACAAGAAAGCAAACATTAAACACACCTAGAGAAATATAATAAATAGACACACGTTAACAGTGCAAGCAGAGAGACTGAGAGCCTCTGGAAAGAGACAAGAGTGGGGAAGGCTTGAGAGGAGTTAGGACAGAACCCAGGGGAATGTGCGAGCTGCTGTGTTTAACCTGTCCCAGGGAAATCGGGATTGAAATATTCCCTAGTGAACACGATCGGTATATGCAGTTCAACCGCAGATCATGGAGACATACCCAGATACACACGCACCTCATACAACCTCGATGGGCAATTCTTCCCTCCCATCTTGGTCTCCTGGGGATACCAGCTAAGAGACTGGTGCTTCATTCTTGGAGACAGCCAGTCTTTTTTTGGAGGTGGGTGGATCCTCATCTGGTTCATTTTTTCAAGAAACTGCCTGCTCCCTGAGAAAAGTTTGCTGGGGAGAGAGTTGTCTCACTGCATACGTTTCCAAAGGGAAGAGAAGGGATGGCCTTTCCTCCTAAGATAACACAGCAGCCTCCCCTCACCCCACCCCCTGCGGGTCTCCCACCAAAACCTTCCTAATGAGCTGCCTCTGGGAGGGGGTGGATATTTTCCACAATATCTTGGCCACTGCTTTTTTTTTTTGAATCTTCACTTTTCCATGCCATAAACACTGTTTGCCATGCCATAAACACTGTTTGCCATGACCTCTCCCTCACTACCATCTCGGATTGCTTCTCATGCGTGAAACATATTTCTGTTCATTATTTTGTTGTCCACAACCCTTCCTTCCCAACCGTCCAGCCCGGGTCTCCCTCCCTGCACCCTTCACCCCCACGTCACACATATAATGAATTGCCATTCCTTCAGACAACGGGGTGGAAAACTGTGGTCTCCAAGGCAACGGGGTATCTTGGGGTAGGGTGCTGGGGAGGGGGGCCTTGACCGGCCAGGAAAGGACTGGAAGTAAAGGGGGCGGGGAGGCACAAGCAGAGATGATATCATTCCTGAAGCCTGAAAGCAGCCAATCTGCTGGTGAGGATATGATGTCATCTCCCCCGCCCCCGCCCCCTCTTAGCCTAGGTAGCCCCACTGAGAATTCTAGACAAGTATTGAACTGAAGTTGTATTACTGTGAGAGAAAGGGGGCGGGGGATGGCGATGGGAGAGAGAAAGAGATCTACGGACCCTCTGGATGGCCCAAGCAGACACTACAGTCTTCGCCAGAGGCAGCCCCATAAAAATGTCATCGGCTAGGGGCTCTCCCCGCATTACAACACAATGATTTGTTTGGGGAGAAGAAAAAAAAAAACCTAAGATTTATTTTGCAACCACACCTCCGCCTCCCTTGGAAGAGAAATACCAACCAGTAACAAGTTGTGAATGAAGTGTCTGCAGATGGGCCCCGCTCGCCCAGCCTGAGAACTTTCCAGACAGAGAGGTGCACATGCTCACACAGCACTGGCTGAGCCGATGCCTGCTGCTCTCAGGAGCCACAGGGATGGAGGAACCGCTCAAGGAGCTCCAAAGTATGAGCCTGGTTCTGGGCAAAGCTGCCCAACCCAGTGGTGTGAGCCACAGAAACCACTGGGGGAGGGGAGTCTGTCCCTAAGACAATGACAGCATCTAGGGCTCAGTGCCAGGCTCCCGGGAGAAGCAAACAAGCCTTGGCTTTAGGGAGGGTTGCAGGCTCATTAGAGAGCCCACTGAAGTGTTACCACCATGCAGAGAGGAGGAGTGTGAGGGCACGGCTCTCCTCTGCCAGTTTTCTCTTGGGATGGGGAAGCAGTGCTGTTTGGAAAACAGCACTCAAGCCTTCCTCCCAAATGCCAGAAATGTTCCCAGTAGTCCAGCCACAAGGACAGTGCGTGCAATGGCTTGGACCAGACCAGAGCTGTTCTCTCGCCCCTTAAACTATGTATAAAAAGCAGGTTCCCCAACATGCTCCTTCTGGGGTTATCCCATATGAACCCACTTAGGTTGCCTTTGAGGAAACAGAGACCTAAATGTCCCCCATCCACTCTCCATTTTGCAGAAGTGGGCATCAAGGGCCAGAGAAGGGACAGGACCAGTCCAGTGACTCTGGGGCTATGCCTAGGACTCTGTCTCCATCCACTGTTCATTCCCCAGGACGAGCCCATGACACAGTAACTAGGCCGGGCACAGTGGCTCACCCCTATAATCCCAGCACTTTGGGAGGCCAAGGCAAGTCAGGTCACAAGGTCAGGAGTTTGAAACCAGCCAAGATGGTAAAACCCCATCTCTACTAAAAATACAAAAATTTGCTGGACCTGGCGACGCACCCCGTAATCCCAGCTACTCGGGAGGCTGAGGCAGGAGAATTGCTTGAACCTGGAAGGTGGGGGTTGCAGTGAGCCAAGATCTCACCACTGCACTCCAGCTAGGGCAACGGAGTGAGACTCTGTCTTGGGAAACAAACAAATAAACAAACAAAATCCTGCTCCTCATCAAAGTTTCTTCTTGGATTTATCATCTACTGATGATTCTTACCTGATCCAAACTTTGCCAAGATGGCTTCAAAAATGTGAGTTTCCAACTGCAACACTCCTTCCACATTCGCCTGCTGACCCTCAGAATTCTATTAGCAAGAGTCGCTCCATCTCCACCCCCACCAATTGATCTACTAATTTATCTATTATCAATCATCTATCTATATCTGAATACCATTAGCATGGTCCCATGAATTCCTATCATTAATGGCCTATCATTCTTTCCTGCAGTAAACTATTTTACTGCTTACATTTGTGGCAGGCTTGGCCAGAGGGAGCCCCTTCGAGCCAGTTTGCATATCCTTGGGACACGCCTCCGTCCTTTGCTTACTGATACTGTTTTTATAATTGGTCAAAAAATGACTTTATTCATGGGAATGTCCAGTGAGCCCCAGAGGCTGCTGAGACATAGATAAAGGCAGAAGAGTTTCAAGGAAGCTCCTGCCAGCCCTTTCCACCGTCCAGGGAAGTGAATCTGCTTTGTCAAGTGGCTGCTGAGTCTTTCTTGACACATACCCTCATGAGAATGTAAGAAACTCACAGTGGCCGGGTGTGGTGGCTCATGCCTGTAATCCCAGCACTTTGGGAGGCCGAGGCGGGCAGATCACTTGAGGTCAGGGGTTCGAGACCAGGTGGTCAACATGGTGAAAACCCATCTCTACTAAAAATACAAAAGTTAGCTGGGCATGGTGGTGCACACCTGTAAGCCAGGTACTCAGGAGGCTGAGGCAAAAGAATCATTGGAAGCTTGGGATTGAGACGAGTCATCTGGCCCATGCCTCCAACCTCTTTGACCAAGTTCCTGAGCCTTTGGCTTGAAAGAGGAGGGTGGAAGACAGAAAAGACTCCACTTTACATTTTGCCCGACTCGAGCGTTCACGTAAAACAGCCCAGATCCACTAGCACCTCATACATCCCTCCCCAGAGACTGTGCCCCAGCCCTTGACATCAGAGCTGGGGGTCAGAGCAGCACTGAATAAAATCCCTCTCTCTTGGTCCCTGGCTTTTGACAAGCTAGTTCTCTACTGCACATTCCCCCACCAGGCCCCATGGGCAAGGCTGCTGGGCCAGATGTGGAGATGCTGGCACCCTGAGTCAACAGTCAGCTCAGCCAGGACACTGGCTGCTTAGGCAGAGGAAGACCCAACCTTGGCTCCTATGGGGCTGCCACCCAGGGTCAGTTCAGGCTGCATAGAAGCCCCTGGCTCGACTGACCACGCAGGCCAAGAACAATCCCCTTCCCCTTGCATTCTCACAAGGCACCCTCGCCACCAACCCCATGTCCTCATGTCACTTGACCTGGCTGCTCCCTACCTAGTAGTCAGGGAGCTCTGGAAGATGGAAGGGTGCCTGGAAGGAGGCATGGGAAGGGGCAGGGCTGGAGGGACAGCAGGACCCGGAGAGGACCCTTGCTAACAGCTCTCCTTGGCCCTGTTCCACGGCGCAAGCAGCCTGCACTTGGGGCTCCATCTGTGGCCTGTTCCCAAGCAACTCTGGCCTTCTCCCCGCAAGCAAATCAGGGCATGTCCGGAAATGATTACAATCAGCCACACTACCCTGAGAGCTGCCCCAGAGCCCAGCCAGGGCAGAAAACACACTGTTCTTCCATTTTATGAATGAACAAAGCTGTATGCTTTCTATAAACGTCTACATAAATCATCGGTGGGCATTCCCCTCTTGGCATGAGAAAAATCCAATCCAGACTGCACAGGCAGCTTCTTCCCTGGGAGGGAGGCCCAGGGGCCATTCTCTCCATGTCTTCTGGGCTCTAGGGAGCTGCCTCCTGGGCTGGTCTCTGGTTCTGCAGAGAAAGCTCTTGCTCAGACAATGATTCAGCCCCAAAGGGGCAGCAGCTCACCTTTCTAGGGGCCTCCTGGGCTGAGCTCCAGGTGAGGCCCAGCCAGACCTGCTAGGGTTCAGGGGATCCTTTGTAAGCCACCCTCCTGGGAGCTCTAACTTTCCCAGGCCCATGGCCCTACCCTGCCCATCGCAGCCTGCACGGCCATTGGAAAGGTCTCTGTACCCCTGGCATTTTATGTAAAAGCTCCATGTCCACTTAACTAATAAGTAATCATTAATATTACCCCTGGCCCATGTAACCAACTGTTAAACTGACACTAATGAATTGAGTCATGAGCACCATGACCAGTATTAAAGCCAAGTCTGAACTGTTCACTTAAATGACCCAGGCTGATTTATACATCGTGCCTTGCATTTAACCAGAATGGTGGGTATTTTATATCAAAATGCACAGACATTCCCTCCATCCTGGCTTTATTCTTTCTGACTACCTCCCAGCCCCAACTGGATCAGACCAGACCAAACCCGATTGTCCCGGCCTTAATTATCTGGATCATAGTGCTACCTACTTGGTGAAAATGCATGGAAAATCTGGCGTTCAAAATAATGTATTAATGAGTACATTTGACTTTGACTTTGGAGTAGGATGAAATGAGCATGCTATGAAATTTGGCTAATTCAAATGGTTTGAGTCCTCATTTTATAAATGAGCAAAGCTGGGGAGGAAGACAACTCCCCATGTTGGGAGGACCCATTTCTGCAGGTGTGGCTTACCGGCCTTACCCCAGGCTTGGTTTCTAGGAGGCAGGAGAGAGTCAGAGCTCGTAGCCTTGAGTTAGAGAAACTCTGCTGAGGACAGCCATTCCTGCCTCTGCCCTTACCTTCTTCCCAGGCACGCTGGGGTTGGGGGTCTCCCTTTTAATTGAGAAGTTAGTGACACATCCACCCCACAGGACATTATACTTGTGCCAGCTAGCCTGCCTTCCTCAGGGTCCCACCCCCCGCTTCAGGGACACTAGAGGCAGCCACTTGCCTCCATCATCTACGCAGGACTCACCGGCAGCATCGGGAGTGGGCAGCTCCTAGGAGGAGTGAAGCTGCAAGGAGCCCTGAGCAGGGCCAGGTGGCCATAAGAACCCTGGGGCTCCTCTGTGATGGCAGGGCATGGATGTTTGGGGTTGGGCAGATGTTGGAGCTTTTGCCTTCTAAAAATCTTGGAAGCTGGTGTTTCCACAGCCAGCATTAGAGTTCATGGGGGAGAATCCCAGGTCTGCAGATAACACCTATTCCCTGTAACCCCTTGGGGAAGGTCAGAGGGGCCAATGGAGAAGACCAGGTAAGGGGCCACCCGGACAATGGCTGCATTGAGGCTGCCCGAGATAAAAGTTAAATCTCACCCTGCAATGCTGGTAGACACACCAGGATACCCACCTGGCCATGTGGCACTGTGGACTGGCTTCCAGCAGGTTAATTTTTGTGTTAAAAGACTCTAGAGTCTCACTGCTTGATATTTTTCCCTTCAATTCACTGCTGGGCTTTAATTCCTAGATCCCTTACAGCTGTGTGGCCTTGGGCAAGTTACCTAATCCCTCTGTGCTTCATTTTCTACATCCATGCAACGGGCATGAGAACAAGCACATCACTCATGCGAAAGGGTTAAGTGAGATATTGCGTAGAAAGCCCTTTGCACAGTGCCTGGCACATGGTAAGTGCTCATAAAAGATGGCTATGTCATCTTCAGTATTCTTCCCCTCGGCCATCTAACCTCTGTGCCTCTGGACAGAAGGTTCTAGTCTCCCCGCTTTCCCACTCATCAGCCTCACATCCTCCTGTGTCCTCTACTCCCAGAGACGCGGGTGGCAGGGCTGGGAGCTGTCAGCTGCAAGCCCAGCCGTCTCAGCAGAGCCAGCTCTCAGCAAGCCCATTTCCACCTGAACTGCCAAGGTGTGCCATCCGAGGCCAGGCCTGCAGGCTGTCACATTCAGCATCTGGTTCTCTCCTTCCCTCTGCTCCTGGCCTCGCCTGCCCCTCAGGACGCTCTCAGCCACCCTGCTGCCTCTGTCAGGCCCTAACTCGTCCGGCCGGCTTGCCTTGGTACCGGGGCTTATCCAAACATCTTCATCGCTTTTCATAAATTCAATCCCTCCTTATCAACTGCACCATCAGGAGGAAGGGCAGGAGGGGCTTGTGACTGAAGTGTGGGGAAGAGAAGCTTTAATTAGCCTCCTTGCTCCCCGGGGTCACCCACAGTTCAACCGCCCTGCCTCCGCATGCTCCCAATCACGTAGTGAGAAGCCAGCCCTGTGCTCTCTCACCGCCACACTGCA